TCGCAGGGAGCGAGCACCCGGCTCCGTCCTGCTGCTGCTTCGCCCCGTGGCACTGCCGATGCACCCCAGGAACCCCTGTGAAGTGGTGCTTGGGGCTTACTGGGCTTTATTAATAGTGGTGGTGTTACTAGCAAAAACGCTTATTCGTATATATCGATGCTTAATGACGCACCGAAGTCCTGAGCAGTAAAAATCAACGACAGCTTAAAGAGGTAGCATGATAAAGCGTAGACAATATACATTAAAGGGGACCTGCAATCCCAGTGTTATGCTTTTAATTGATCCAGTTCTACAAGAAACTACTGTAAAACATGTGCCGCATGCACTTGGCCATGAAAAATGGCAACTGTGTCCACCTGCTTGGACATACTTTGTACCTGCAATATAGAAAAAGGCAACGTCTTGTGCTGGTAGTGCAGGTGCTTTTAAGAGCCCGGCTCGCTAGACGGAACATGAACGTTACCATCAGGAGCCTCTGTTGCTTTCTACTGAGAAAAATCACACATGCAGTAAAGATCTTGGGGGGAAAAAAACCCCTAAGTAGTTTAGGAACCTAAATCCCATTTTATAAAGCGTCTTCTTGAAATAGATGCCTTAGGCAAACTCCTGTCACAAGGTGGGACTTCAGCTTTGTCTCCTTTCACAGCCATTTCTGCTGGGTGTGGCGTTAAGGGACATAAATAAACTTCACACTGGCTGCTGCAGGCAGAGGATCAGTCAGCACGGGCTGCCCAGCGTACCCAGGAAACCGGCTCTGCTGGATCGCAGCGCAGGTGCCCTGTGTTGAAATGGCTTCTCTATTTTTTCCCTAATTATTTTCCCCCCAGTTGCTAGCCCTACAAATTCTCCCTGGTATCTGAACATCCACAGTCTCTCACAATTTTTTCTGGTCAGCACGCAGAGGAAATCCTCGTGTGATGCATGACTCAATGTACAATCTAAACCAGTTGCCTCCATCCCTGCCCAGCTCTTGAGATCAGCACGACTGTAACCTTGCGCAGAAACCAGGGTCTGCCCAGAAGAAGGAGCCGATCCGCTGAAATAAAGCTAAAGAACTGCTCGGGTATTTCTGTGGTTACCGTTTCCACTTCTGTTTTCTGCTCGTAACTCAGTAAGGAACTTTGAGAGTTATAAATACAGAGCTCTAGGAAAGTTATGTTAAATTGCACCAAAAATGACTCTGCTGTGCTGGTGCCTTTCCAAGTGGTGGGACCCGACAGAACCCGACAGCTCTGAATCGGAAGAAACCCTCGGTGTGCTCTGATAAACAAAGCCAAACTGTTTTGAGCCAAGCAGTCTTAACGCTAGATGAATCCTGCAACTCTCTTAGAATAGCCCAGGCTTAACTACGTCATACAAATTAGGACTCTAATGACACGAATCAGAAATTAGAAACCCAGGTTAGGAATAAACACGGGTTCATCTGCTGCTGCGTCCACGGCAGAGGTCTGCACCAATGCGATTAGCTCGACTGCGTTTGATTTTTGGCTATAATAATATGATACCTTTTGTGAGGCCAGCTATTTTTGATGAGAAATTGCAGACATAAAAGCAAACATTATTAATTTAGTTTATTTCTAAGGCCGATTTCCCTCTCCTTGGAAGTTTAAAGAGCAGCTGCTCACAAACAATAAACCCTCCTACTGTTCAGTCTCTTGCACGTGGCACGTAGCAGAAATCACGTTAGACTTGCTGTAGGCTTTTGATTTCAAAATGAGATTAGGAGGGGAAGAAAAGCCCAACCAAAGCACTGGAAGGTCAGGTCCAACCACAACGGCAGCACTAGCTGGGGAGTGACAAAATATAAGCCCTTTAGTAGTGCGAACAAAATCAGGTTTTTATCCTCCTGATCTCATTTATTACTCTCTCTGCTGTAGGAGCCACGCAGTTATCTTCTGGTTTCCACTGCAGCTCCAGCAGCTTTTTATTTCTCGGGCTCTGAGAGGATGCAGGGAATGCGACGAAAGCAGGAACAAGATGCTCCATTGAGGTTTCTAACCCACAAGTTTCAAAAAACTGTCAGTTCACAGAGTAAAACCGAAAACTGCTCAAGCCGTCTATGGGGCTGTTTCCCGGGGGCTCACACCTACAGGCTCCCAGCGAGATAACGCTGGTGCAGCGCTGGGTGGGAGAAGGACACGCGTGAAGGTTCCCCACCTGA